AAGTGTGTGCTGATACAAATAAAATGTTTTGGCTTGTGAAGAGCAGAGAGATAAGCTTTCTTAGAGGAATAGATTGCTCAGATGGTCTTTTGCACTAACACTTGTTTATAGCAAGATGTCATTGCTAGGACTTAAAATTGCTCATTAGAACTATCATGAAATACTTCAGAAATGCAAACATATTTAAATTTCATTTTGAAATAGAAATGTATAAGTTTAGGTATTAAACCTACTATAATTTCAGGAATGAGGTGAGAAGGTTGCCTGCATAAAACTAAATTTAGGGAGACTCTTAGACACAAACAACAGTATAGCATAGCTAACAAGCTAATTACTGTGAATTAAAGTACAGAGCCTGCTGTACTTTGCTAAAAATTATGTAGTAAGTAACTGTAAATATACTGTACCACTGTTATGCCCCTTATTAAGAAAGAGTATTTAGGTTATGCTTTTTTGAAGTATTGTAGCTTGCATTAATATAAGAAAAATCAATACTTTTATTTTACATTATGGTTTTATTAAGAATGTTGTTCTCATTGTGATTAGTCTATGTAATCAAATATACAGTACTTGGCTACTACCAAAGGCTACAAGTGGAAATTACGGGGAAGTGCCTTTAAATTATGTAGAATAAGGCTCTGTGTAAGGAAGGGTGTTCCATTTAGAGCTCATCTAACAAAGGACGGGAGAGTAGTCCCGTTCCATCTGGTTGAATGGAATGTCCCATGTTGTTTTGGATCATGAATAAGTTCTAGGTCATTTCTTGATGCCTAGTCCACAAGTACCTCACTATCACTGTCTGATGCTAAGTTTTCCCCAGTCTGGATGATGACTGTAAAGTTTCCCATATAGATGGCTGGGTGGTAAAAGGAACGCAGCACTTGCCGCTCCCAGCTAATACTGAGAGGTTTATAAATGTTGACTATGTGGAAACTACCAGTCATCATGATGTCAGAATATATGGTTTTTCCCAAATAGTGTGCTTGAAAAATGTCTGTTCTATATTGATGGCCATGTTTTGCATGTGGGTGATAGCATAAGAGGTCATAGCCTTTAATGGAGTATTGGCCTACCTCTTCTGTTACAGTGTGGGTTTCCTGCAGACAGATGATACCGTTGGTGTGTTGGGCAGCTTTGAATTTATTGAGGCTGTGCTTGGATGCTGACAAGCCCTCAACATTTAGTTGCAATATTTGGAGATCTGGTCCAACAGTGATGTTCTTTTTGTTTATTGTCTTGGCTTTCGAACTTGCTCCAGGATTTAGTTTGCTAAGTAGATTATTAACTTCCCTGAACATACCTGGATACTGAGGTGGGGAACAACACAAACACTGATCTAGTGCTCCCCTCCAGGAAGTACTGGACCCTCATATGCCCACTCGGAGCTGCTAAAAACCCATGCATTCAAAACCACCCTTCTGTCATTCCCAATCAGATCTTTAGCCATCTGCTTGCTTTTGCCAAGTCACCCCTGGAAAGAAACACCAGAATAATAGTCAGGGGTGAATCTTTTGGGTCACAGAACTACAGAAGATTCTGCAGGACCTGAAGGCAACAGGATATGACACCATCAAGCCAAAGATTATAAAACAACTTGGTCCATGTGCCCTTGCCTGGATGACTCTGTTCTACTCACTGATTATGAACTCACAACACCATCCCAAAGAAAAGGTGGAGAGCAAAGGTCATCGCTATAACTTAACCTGGAAAATACCCAAAATTTCCATCCAGTTACCACCCATTTTCCCACCTATCAGTCTTCTACAAAATCCTTAGGCGCTCATTCTCCAACACATTACACCAATGTGGACCAAGCTTGTTTCTGCAAGGAGCAAAGCACAACAGAACAGCTACTGGCCATCACCACCTTTCAGAAAAACCTGAACACAGGGGCTGTGTTCCTCAATCTCATGGCAGCCTATGACACAGTCTGGCACTCGGGGCTTCTTTTGAAGCTGTCACAGGCCCTAACCCCCCAGCAACAAGACTAATCCAAACACTTCTAAGCAACAGACAATTCAGAATTCACATTGGACCAGAAGCAAATACATAGAAACAAATGAAACAACTCCCAATAGGATCAGTAATGTTCCCACTCTATTTAAACTGTACATAAATTACCTCCAAAAAACTGCATCTCAAAAGTTTATACTTTGGACATCTGTCTGGCAACAATCTCAATTTTGACACATTGGACCAGGGCCTAGGTGAGTGAATATCAAATCTTAAACAGTACGGCAACACATGGTGACTCAAACCAAGCCCTGCAAAAACAGTATCCCATCTATTCTACCTGCACAATACAAAAGCTACAAAAATGCTCAACATTCATATGAACATCAGAAATATCACCAACCTACTCCAGCATAACTTGACGTGACTCTAGACAGGACAATTATGTTCTGGTAATATTTAAAGACAACAGCAGCCAAAGTCAAAACAAGCAACAATCTGACCTCCAGGCTTGCTGGTACAACAAGGGGAGCTGCCAATATCAACCTCCAGACCTCAGACCTTTGCACCGTCTATCTCAGCAGCACAATATTATCCCTCTGTCTTGTCAAGATACAGAGTAGTCACCCAGCTGTCCATCATCACTGTCCACCCCACTCACCTCCCTGCCGGTACTATCAATCCTTCACACATCCAGTGACTCACAGTAACCCACAAAATGCTCAAAAAGATATCATAATAATAATAATTGCTTACACTTATATAGCACTTTTCTGAACTCTCCACTCAAAGCACTTTACAGGTAATGGGGACTCCCCTCCACCACCTCCAATGTGCAGCCCCACCTGGGTGATGTGATGGCTGCCATAGTGCGCAAGTATGCTCACCACACACCAGCTATCAATGGGAAGGAGAGCAGAGTAATGAAGCCAATTCATAGATGGGGGTTATTAGGAGGCCATGATTCGTAAGGGCCAATGGGAAATTTGGCCAGGATGCCGGGGTTACACCCCTACTCTTCGAGAAACACCCTGGGATTTTTAATGACCACAGAGAGTCAGGACCTCGGTGTTACATCTCTTCAAAAGGATGGCGCCTGTTTACAGTATAGTGTCCCTGTCCCTATATTGGGGCATTAGGACCCACATGGACCGCACGGTGAGCCCCCCCTGCAGGCCCCACTAACACCTCTTCCAGCAGCAACCTTAGTTTTCCCCAGGAAAAAAAAAGTTTTCCCATTCAGGTACTGACCAGGATCACACGTGATTAATAGGTAATGTTTTCTAAATTTTAATCAGCTTTAAAATCGTCTACATAACTTTGTTATGCCCTACAATAAAAAATGGAAGATTGTTGTTAATGCCATTTGTGTACTAATGTGTTGCAAGATCTTATTTTGATCTGTTTCTCTGCTCCCAAATGTAATCATACTGTACATTTTGTTGACTAAATTAATGACCATAATGCATTTATGTATATCTACCCATTGGGTAGTTAATCGGCATTTAATAATCAAGAAAGATATAAGACTCAAGATAAAATGTATGATGATACAACATTCATGCCTAGGTGATTGAATGACACTATGTGTTTTTGTGTTGTTAACAGGTCAAGTATTTATTCATAAATAAATAATTTATTATTATTTTCCCGAAAACATTTTCGTGTCCATTGATACTGCAATTTCAGTTGTGAGGAGTTTAAAAAACATATTAGTATGAGTGCATCACTGTCTATTCTGACTGAGAAGACTGTTTTGTGAGATTTGGAGGGTTTTAGAGATGTTTTGCAACACATAGTTATAATACAAAAGCCTCATACCTTATGACCTGCAATTTGGTGTAATTTGTTTTTTGTTTGAGAGTGGACTTTCCCTGTGAGAACAAGAATAACAAGGTAGATAATATCTGAAAAAACAATTCTCACCTGCTGTTGTATAGACATTGTTCGGTACAACCCTTGGAGTGTTTTATTGATTTGTGCTTGTCCTACTGATACGTGCAAAGGATTTTACAAATGTTTCTCCACATTTGATCAATTACAGTATGTAACATGACTGCTAATAAAATTGTAAATATTAAAGTTTGTTTTTTTAGATTATGAACATTAATTGTAAAAATGTTTTATCATAATGATATATACAGTATCATTCTAAAAGCACTTCACATATACGTTGCCCCACTTCATTCATCACTGAAGGCAGTATCCAGCTGGATGACATGTGGCAGACTTTATGCATCAGCAGCCTCACTATGCAACAGCTCTAGTGGAGAATTGAGAAATAACTTTGATTGAATTGCGGAAGAACTTTTTCTAGGTCAGATTGCACAAACTCAGAGTGGAATTTTGCCAGCACACAACCATGCTTCACAATTTGCCAGGCATACAAAGATGAGCAGACAAAAGTAAATGTTTACCAAAATGAAAGAAAGGTTAAAGTGTCAGAAAAAGAAAACAACTGCAGATGCTCCAAAGAACACCTTATCTATGAAGAATAGTAAAGATAATATCATCTCTTAGAGATACATTGCTGCCTCTGGGATGCTCTCTTTTTGTCTAAATTGATGCTGTGACTACTGATAAGCAGCAGAATGAATTTTGAGGTTTAGAGAAACATTGTTTCTGCTTGTGTAGAAAAAAAAATGCTTCTGTACTTATTGGAGCATGCAGCATGGCAGCAACCGAACTTGTACAGTATAGCCATTGTGACTAAGGAGTTCATCAGGAGAAAATAGCAAGATGTCCTAGATCAAACAAGACATTCTCCAGACTGAAATACAGTTGAGGATGCATTTTACAGTACATGCTGAGGTACACTGAGTACCCCAAGATTAGACAAGGACTCAAAGTGGCTGGCACAACAGCTTGGCAAAGCATCTGAAACAACTGCCCAAGAAGGTTGGTTAGCTAAGTGGGTTGCAGACTTCATGCATGTATTGCCTTAAAGGGATATGCATCCAAATACAAACTTTTACACTCTGAAATGTACTTAAAGTTAATGTGTTGCAGTACACACAGTCACTTGAAATCACTGGGTTCAACACACTTTGTTGTTGTTCAAATATGATCAAAGTTGTGCATGGAAATATCCCCAAATAAAATGTGTTCTGCTGTGCATATTGTAATGAATACAAATAACATCACTGTAAAGCACAAATACAAGTTTAAATTTGCTGTCATAATACTTTTGGATGGCTTTGTACAAGGATCTTCCCCCACCCCTGATCGTACTTAATTTCTGTTTCTTCCATAAGGTGGCGGCAGTGAGCACAATAGTAAACAGAGGCACTCCTTTGAAGGCCTATGTTTTCAGGAACTACAACTTGCTCCCTGGGGTGAAATCTCACTATCTTGGAAGTTGTCAGCACAAGCTCTGGCAGGCAATCAGAGCATCTTCTGCAGCACCTGGCTATTTTCAGGAGTTTGTACTGGGAAATGACCTCCATCAGGTAAAATCCGTTACTGTATATGACTAGAGCTTTTAGGATTTTAGCCATTTTAGATTATTGAGCACCTTTTTGAATGTAGCACAGTCTACTTCTAAAATGGTTTTGCTAATCGATACCAGTTATCCAAACTATTGATTATACTTAAAACAGGAGTGGGCAGTCTTGGTACTGGTGGATTGGTGTGTTTGTATGTTTTTAGGTTTCTTTAAACACCAGCAGTTGGAGAGCTAGGAGAAGGTGTTAGATTGGTTCAATTTTCCCATCAATGATCTGATTTTTCAAGACCTAAATTAGAATTTAAATCATTCAACAAATCCCAGTCATACTATAGGATGTTACTTCCAGTTTTACATCAGGTGTATGGTTTCATTTTCTTCTGTCCTAGAAGAGTGTAAACTTCTTTTACAGTTCTTTCATTTGTGATCTGGAGCTCATTTTATTTGTCTCCATCTTTTCTACCAGGTAACCAGACTTCTTCTACTGCTTCTATGGGTGGTTATTCTAAATTTGCCTGTCTTTTGTTAAGTACTCAGCATATTGTTTAAAGGATCTTAGTAATGTGTTCTTATGAATGATTTATTGCAATCATTATCAACAAATTCGCCATAAACTACATTACATTGCAAAAACAGACATGCAATTTGTAGTTTTTTCAATTGAGCGTCATATCAAGGAAAATAACAATTTTAATACAGTTCTGCTGCTTCTTTACTTCTTTTTACATATTGAAAAAACCCTGGAATGCTTGCATCAAGCATGTACATTGTAGCTTTTCAACAGGAAGGCCTTTTTGGTCTCAGGTTATAGCTCTTTGAATATGAATAATGATTGTTCCAAAATTCTTATTCTCTGTAGCAGTCATCACTTTGGAAATACAGCTCAGTCTTTAGTATTTGGTTTAGGTTAGATGTCTTGCAAAGTGAAATGTTTTAAGGATTTGTTTTGTTCTAACCCTTGAATGTAGAGCAAGGTCATGACTGTGAAGATAATTTAAAATTGCAGTTTAATTAAAAACTTAGTGAAGACTTTCGATGAGCAGAAGATGTAGCCTGACTTAGAAGTATAGGTGTTACCAGGATGTACTGTATGTCATTGATAGGAGGATAAATGAGCTGAACGGAATGAGAAACACTTGGGTAAATCCAGCTTGTGATTCATGAACTGATGTATGTTCATCAGTCCAGCTGTGAAATCAATATAATTCATTTGGACATTTCCACAAAGGGATCCTTAAGGTCAGGTATAAAAACTCTTTGGTACAACAGTGATACTTAAGACATTTTCCTGAAATAAGAATCATTATTACATATAGAAAAAACCTTTATTTTTTGTTCTCTGTACCATTTGAATTTTTTTGTTTATATTTCTCAATATTGGAGATGAAAATAAATCTGATCATTGTTAGGGTCAAAAGAATGACTGCAAAAGGAGCCAATAATATGATAATGCTCTAATTTAAAATCTGTGTAGTTAGCAGGGTTAGGAAGGAGACTAGCTGAATTGAAAGAGAATGTAAGATGGTAACCTGCAGAGCAGGGAATTCGCCAGATTGCTTTTTGAAGTTCACCTTTCATCAAGGGAATCATTAATCAATCCTGACTGCGTTTCATCAGTTCAGTTTTCACTTTATAAATTACATTGTATTGCTTGTTAATACTTAACTTAAAAATTTAAGAATTTGTATCTAGATCCATACATTTACCAAACATTTTCTTAAATAAGGTTTGAGAAACAAAAAATACTTATTTTTTTAAATATAACATATTTATCATAAATATTAAGTAACCCATGCAAACCCAGCTATTGTGCTATTGAACTTTATAAATAAAGAATGAATGCTTTAATTTGTGTATTTTATATATTCAGGCATCAAAAGTGAAGCTAAGTAGTAAAATGAATGTTTGAGTCATGTGTAGAAGTTTGTTGATGCTAAATTTCAATCCATTAAATTGTCTTTTTTACTAAAACAACATTAACAGTGATATTCTGGCTCTTAGTGGATTATAAGCTAATTCACTGCAGCTCTGCTCTGTGTTCAGAAGCTGTTCACTGACTTGAGTTCTTTTCAGTTAGATGCGTACAGTAAGGACAGAGAGAACGCAGCCTCAACCTTTTTTTAATACCAAGCTTGAATTCCCAGAACTTCTTTTCTTCTGCCCACACATTACTGCTGCCAGAACTGAACTTGTTTCAGATTCAATGTGCTCATGCTGGCATGTCAAATAGCACCAAGAACTTTATTCATTGCAGTTTCTTTCCAGTTTAAGCATTATTTTGTTCAAAAGGTTTTGTATGCTTGCTGCCCACTAGTGCCCTTTGCCTTTTTTAAATTAAACTTTTGAAGAGTTGTGTTATCTTCCTGAGTTATACATGCAAGTACATTATGCTAAAGATCGTCTAGAAAAGATGTATTAACACAGCTTGTGATTGTCAGACTTATCTAAGTAATTTCTCTCTGTGTTTTTAATATACAAAATGACCAAATGAATAGGAAATCTCACCCTTTTCCTTTGACTCCCTCTTCATGATAGGGTTATCATTCACGTTACAAAGCATGCATTGTTTGAATAGGGAAAGAAATAGAAAACACTGCTTTGAAATGTTGAAAATTAACAGAATTTAAAAAAATCAAATATAAGACATTGGAATTGAATTAAGAACTGAACAGAAAAAACTGTGTGTGTAAGCTTTTTGCTAAATTTTTTTTGGTTATGTCTGAAGTATTCTAAATGCGTACCAGGAAGATATCCCAGAATATTTCTTTTTATTTGTCCAGTTAAGCAGTTGGCTTTAATTGATTTTGACAGAGAATAGGAGAGGTCAAGGATAAAGAGCAGTAATGAGCAATTTATGCGGACTGCAATCCCCCTGTTGGATACACAGCAACAAACTGCATTAAACATGTACCACCTTTAAATTATTTGGGAAGAATAATA